CTTCCGCGCCAGTGGTGGAATTCAATCGGTGTAACAACCGGTTTGCTCCGTGCATGCGCAGTGCATTTAAAAACAGCTCTAAAACTTACCTGCTACTGCAGCCCCAGTGAGTAAAACAGCTGAGGTGTGGCAATCCGCTCTACCGCGCCTATCAGCTGGGTTTCAAACAAAGGAAATATAGGTCAGTATAGCCCAGGGGCGGAAGGGCGGGCCCAGCTGATCGTCGGAGCGAACCGCCTATCAGCTGGGCTTCAAACAAAGGAAATATAGGTTGGTATAGCGCAGGGGTGGGAGGGCGGGCCCAGCTGATTGTCAGAGCGAACCAGTTCGCTCTCAGTTGATCATTGGAGCTAATGGTTTGTCCAAACTACCCCGAACCGGCTGAATCCCATCCCTGCTCAGTACGTCCTGTTTTTGCTCTCCCCGGCATCCAGAAGCACACTGCAGGCTAAAAAGGGGCTCGTTTTTGGCCTCCCAAACACTCCGCGCGTCCCATTTTCAGCCTCCCGGACGCTCGGTGGATTTGGGAAGCCAAAACCAGGCCCATATTCGTTCTATAAGATGCATAGACATTTCCACCCACTTTTGGGCGGCGGGAAGTACGTCTTATCGTCTGAAAAATAAGGTACTTTCCACCCATTGCTTCTTGTCCTACCCTCAGGTGCTGTTCTGCCCCAGCTACGGACCCCAAAGAATGCAGCACACACAAAGTCCGTACAAACCTTAGTTTACTAATTAAGGACTACTAATGAGCTTTCTTAGTAGTTGTTCGAACACAAGTATAGTTTAAATCAGTCTTTTCTGAGCAAGGGCTGTTAATTTAACTTCATTAACAGCCGATAAGAATCCAAAGAATAATAACTCAATTCTGAAGCAGAATTTCAGTATTCAGAAATCAACATTATTTCAGATAACTGTAATCTTACTGTGGTTGGCAGAATGCCCAGAAGCAATTTGCAGGAAAACTGATAAGAAAGGAACAAGTGCTGATCAGATGTTTCTGGAATCAAGAAGCAAAGGAATATGAACGAAGTTGTTTCCTGCAAATTGCCTCAGTCGTCCTTCCTTAAATAGGCTAGGGGAGTGGCCAATTAGCCCCAAGCCTTACTCTTGAGGAGACCTCGTGTTATTCTAGTCTATTCTAAACCCTGTGAGGTGGGTTGGACTGAGAGGGAGGGACTGGCCCAAAGTAATCCAACTGGCTTTCATGCCTAAGGCGGGACTAAAACTCACCTCCTCCTGGTGATTGGCCAAGTCACCCAGCTGGCGATCATGCCTAAGGCGGAACTAGAACTCACTGTCTCCTCGTGATTGGCCTAGAGTTACCCAATCATCTTCCATGGCTAAGGCAGAACCTAAAACTCACTATCTCCTGTGATTGTCACCCATCTGGCTCTCGTACCGGAGATGGAACTAGAACTCACCAACTCCTGGTTTCTAGGCCAGCACTTCATCACTAGAGCAAACTGGCTCTGAACTGGATTTGTGCAAAGAACTCCCTGGTCACCTGCTCCTTGGATCCAAAATGCCCCCCCAATTACGCACCGGCCCTTAAAGGGAGCATTACACCTATTCAGGTCTAAATGGGGAGGAGCATCTGAAGATCTGAGTAGCACTAGGGATGGGCTTCAAAAATTTTAGCAAGGGGTTCTCTGCTCGGTTGCTGGGTGGGCATGGCCTAGTCCGCCTCCTGCACCATGGCAGGGGTGGGGGTTTGCCCTCCCCAGGCTCCGGAGGCTTTTCTTGAGCCTCCGGGAGGACAAAAAGGGCCTCCCTAGGCTCTGGAGGCCCTCTGAGGGCCAGAAATAGGCCTTTTTCTGGCCTTCCCGAACTTCCGGTAGGCCCGTTTTTCGCCCTCCCTGAGCTTCCGCGTGCGCTCTGCACTTACCTGCATCCAAGATGGTCTGCGTGGAGACTCCTGGGAGGGGTGGAGTGGGGTGGGGCAGGGCGGGGCCAGCCAGGAGTGGGATTTGGGGGTTCTCCGAACTGCACAGAATCTTAGCTAGAGGTTCTCCCGAACCCTCATCAGCCCATCCCTGGATAGCCCCAAAACCAACCGGTCTTTTCCGGATTATGATCCAGACTCACGCAGTCCCCAGGCCCTCCAAGACGACCTTAAGAGCCTCACCTAATCAAGCCAGTGTTGGTGGTTATCTTGGGTTACCACCAAGATATATGGATGGTGCCGGACTCACAACTGATGGACCACAATCACACCCAATACAGCAGTGTTTCTCAACCTTGGAAGCTTGAAGATGGGTGGACCTCAACTCCCAGAATCCCCCAGCCAGCGCTGCTGGCTGGGGGATTCTGGGAGTTGAAGTCCACCCATCTGCAAGCTTCCAAGGTTGAGAAACACTGCAACAGCAGAGGTGGCAGTACTGGGCCCTTGAAGCAAAATCTCACCCTTTCACACCCCAGCAAAGGGTGTGAGGGAAAAAAACAACAGCACACTTTTGTTCTCCGAGTGTGGAATTTTTTCAAAGGATGACTTCAGGCT